GCAGCAACAATACTACAGCGAGAATAAAAGTTACGCCTGCTTTCTTTGCGTGAACATTTAGCAAATTATGCAACGTTATGCAAATCTTCCCACACAGTGACGTAGACATGTGGGGGCATGTTTAAACGAGGCATTTTAGGAGGGCATGGACAAGTCTTAACTTTTATAAAGAATATCTCTTTGGATTTGAGACTTTAGTCTTTGCAACTTTACAGATCTTCTTTATGCACCAAGAGCTTGTAAGACTCCAAAGAGAAAGGAACAATTTAAATTGCATCATATGACCCCTTAAAAAAAAAACAGAAAAGCACAGTTTATTTTATTTGTACTGTTTGTGCTGTTGCTTGTAGTTAAATTATTTGTTTATTTTTTATTTGACAGTATAGTCCTTTTTTCCCTAAACATAGCACAAACCGAACCGTACTGAAACTGTGACTCTAAAACCATGTTACAAACCAAATCGTGAGTAATTTGAACTGTTACACCCCTACTCATAAGTGAGTAAAATTACACTGAAAACTCTTTGTTTTTAGGCAAACAGGAAATTGTAAGATAAAGACAGGCTATGATTGCCATGCAAGTTGAATCAAGTCATTTGTGCATATATGCCTGTGTCGTGTATGTTAGTGAGGTAAAAGCTCTGTCAAACCCCTCCCTAGGGATCTGCACTGATGCGGTGTCTGCTGTCAGCTCTAATTGCTTTGTTTGCCTGTCGCTGCTCCTTCCTGAAAGGCCGCAGACACAAAGAAAAGCAAACAGTTCTGCAGCCATGATCCTATTATGTGACTGCACTGATTTTATCCACCCTATATGCCAGAATATCTATTGCTTCCATGTCAGAAGAATATTTTCTTATCTTTACGTCAACTTCTGCGGAAGGACTAGAAAAAAATTATGGCATATCATGATCATTAGATATGATATAATAAATAACAGATGAATAAGATATTGGCGTGAGGAACTGAACTAGTTCATAGTAGTGATCTGTGCTGTAAAAAAAAAGCATTAATTTCAAACTCATTTGCCTTGCTAAATCTAATTTAATATCTAATTTAATAGCGAATAGTCAATATAGACAATAAACAATATTTGATCTCATATGACGCAATGTAAAGGCCTACAATAATGCGGTTTGACCAGTGTGTCACTGTAGCTGCAAGACTGTAATTCAGTGCTCCAGACTGCAGTCCAATAGAAGAAGACATGCTTATGACATGTGCAAATCAAGCAGTACAGTGTGGGAAAGTTTACAAAACTGCAAACAAAAAATGCTGTCATGTGTAAAGGGCCTGATATACTCATGGTGAAGGCTATTATAACTGTTGCACAAGTTTTTCTCTTGTGAGTTGAGTGTACCAACACTTCGTTCTTCATTTAGAGGTAAAAACAAGTTTGATATACACAAGCAGCGGCTTACTGTTAGCGAAAATACCGACACTGATGAGAGCGGCGTTTAAATGAATATGTAAATATGTGCTGCAAGCTTTTCTCTCAATAACAAAATAAACACACAACTCAGATGCCAGTGGTGAGAAAATAGCAGTTAAGAAAGCATCTGATTATAGTGCTGCGGATGGCACTCCAGTAAGTCACATCACATTTATTTATATAACATTTTATACAATAGATTGCTTTAAAGCAGTGGTTCTCAAACTGGGGTACGTGTACCCCTGGGCGTACCTGAGATGACAGAGGGGGGTACACGAACAAAATTCTGAGATTTGGCATTCATTTAATTCTACCCCAACTTAAAGTAACATTAAAACCGTAATGTAAAAACAGGAAGATGGGAGTGCCGTAAACGGTCAAATACATGATATCCAATGAGCTTACCTCATCTTTTGCGGTCTAAACTGATGGCATCCACACAAGCAGCGTGCATGCGATAGGATGCCCGCTGAATATGCTGCTTTAGCAAATCGCGCTGCTGTTCAATGTATCTTTAAAATAGATCTTTACTTAAAGAATGCAAATTTCTCTGAATATCCAAACGATTAATTTTTACAACAGTTGAACAAAAAAAGGTAGGCTAACATTATAAGTGAACATTTTACATTTTAAATGTAGCCTACCTTTTAAACAGAATATTGTCATGTTTGTTCTATTTTGCAACGAAATAATAATTCCAACTAAATCCGTATCATCTGGTGTGTGTCTCCAAGCAACATACAGCAGTGTTTCGTTAGCGAACAAATCTGCGGCTTTGAACGATTTGGAGAGTCAGTGATTAATAACCCATTCTGAATGACGCGACGCCTGACTCATTAAGACAGCGACTTGCCGCCACCTATTGGCGGTTTTATTTTTAAATCTAAAAGTATCACTTCGATTTGCCATAATTTATTGCTTTATTTATATTAATAATACACTTAATGGAATGTTAAGAATATGACATAAACATGACACAATTAATAAGGATAGAAAATATTTGCCCTATAAAGTTAAAAAATGCACCTGTAAATCAATTTAAGGGGGCAAATATTGTCCTTTAATAGAAAAAGTGTGACTGCTGTTGAACAAATGTTAAATGCCCCAGGGGCTACGCCGCTGTAAAAAGTTTGAGAACCACTGCTTTAAAGCAAGCAGCTTTACAGTATTAAACAGAAAAAAAGTCAGTGTTGCTTTCTGTTAGAATTACTATTTGATTTTCTACTACAAAGCAGCTCTATATGTATAAATGTAATATAGAAGATAGAATATGTATAAAATATGTATAACTCTATGTTAACTAATTGCAAAAGTTGAATAATTGATCAAAGCCTATACTGATTAATCGGTGAAATAATCTACGATTATTCGAGTAATCATACTAGTAATCGTTGGATTAATTGATAATCAAAATTAATTTAAATAAAATTCACACATCTGCATAAATGACTAAATAACAGCTTGGTTAGATATTACATTAAAAAATATTATTAGTATTAAATATTCATACATAAAAGGGAACTGAAAAATAGCATAAATGATGACGGCCTGTTATAAAGTTTACAAGACAGTTTTAATGTGACCTTCAAACTTACAATCTGTTAAATAAATAAAAATCAACCCCTGGGACATACAGTGACTGTAGTTAACGAAACACCCATATGTGTGTGTGCAGGCATGTTTGAGGTTCACTGAGGTTCTTACCTTCTGCAGAAGGTTGATCTCCTGCTGTCTGGAGTTGAGGAAAGCCAAGGCCTGCTCATGCTCTGCCTCCAATTGCTGCCGCCGGTCCGCAGCCTCTCGCATATGCTAAATGTGAGAAAAAGTAAAAACAGAAAGAGAGAGAAAAAAGGAAATTAGAATTAGGACATGTTTGTCACACATTTGTAGAAACTCCTGCTTTCTTAAAGATACATTGTAAAACAAGCCATTAGTCACTGTTCAAACCTGCTGTTTTCAGGCTGCGGACAATGATCTGGGAAAAAAGCATCATGAATAACCACACAGGCGCTTTAACAGACACATTAAATGCAATAGTGACAGTGTGAGTGATGACACCAACAGCCACTGATGGAGCAGCACTTGGTAAATACAACATGTTCTGTGAAAATTCCGAAAACCAAGAACGCCACGATAAAAACTGATGAATAAAACACAATAAACAATGTCTAATGGACTGTTTGGGTTCAGGTTTCCTTCTCCTTTATTCAAGATTCAGCTAAACTGGACAAGAGTAGGACTGAAGCATATCAGATGTGTTTTGAGGCTTAAAAGCTTAAGCTTATAAGGTCTAAGATCCATTTTTTTCTCCCCATTTCTCTCACTGTCCTCATCTCCATCCTCTTTAAGAGAGTTAAAGCCTCTTTTCTTTTCTTTGATGACTTTGGTGGGGTTTTAAGCGCACATACACACCTCACACACTCACATGGCTATACATTCAAAGCTTTGCATATTCATTAAAATAGGAGCAGCTGAAGAGGAGAAGAGAAACAACAAAATATATTTATTTTTACAAATGGGCAAATGAACATAAAATTTATTAGCTACATAATAGCATATAAAAGTTCAAAAGATACATAGCTACATCGATTTAAATTCATGTCGCTTCAAACCATGATTTTCTTCTGTAAAAAAATAAAAGATATTTTGAATAATGTTTCTGTCCACACAATTGTCCAATGTTATTTTGGACCTCACAGTCTTTAACTGAACTGAAAAAAAAAAAAAAAAACTGGGACATTTTATCAAAAAAAGCTGAAGAGGAGAAGAGAAACAACAAAATATATTTATTTTTACAAATGGGCAAATGAACATAAAATTTATTAGCTACATAATAGCATATAAAAGTTCAAAAGATACATAGCTACATCGATTTAAATTCATGTCGCTTCAAACCATGATTTTCTTCTGTAAAAAAATAAAAGATATTTTGAATAATGTTTCTGTCCACACAATTGTCCAATGTTATTTTGGACCTCACAGTCTTTAACTGAACTGAAAAAAAAAAAAAACACTGGGACATTTTATCAAAAAATTTTCTTCTTTCTGGTTCCACAGAAAAAAAAGTCATAGATTGACATGACGGTCAGTAAATGACAGATGACAGCATCTGTTCATTTTTTAAATTTGTGGGTGAGCTATCCCTTTAAGAATGTAAGATTTAAAATAGATGACTTGCCCAGTGGAAAGTTCAATTGAAACATTTCAGACAGAAATTCAAGAAGCTCTATTTTTTTCTTTAAAAGAAAATCTTCTATTTCAGTCCAGCTGCTGCAACACTATCTGGAATGATTATGCATTTCTGAGGATCTTCAAACAACATCAAAAAGAATCCTGAAATTTTACAGAAAACCTCTTGTTTTCTGCTCGACTCATTGCTATACTACCTCTAGTTCCTTGTCTCATCTCATCTCTTCTGTAATCATTTATCACATAGTCAATAATAAGAAAGGTAGGAGAGATAAATACATATTTCTCATTTCAAAGTCGATTTCTTGTTATAAGAGCTTTCTTCCTCTCGAGACACATGACACAAGCAGTCCATAAAGCGACAAGTGCAGGAACACTTTTAATTGAAAAATGAGTAAGCAACATGATGCTGGCAGAAGCAAATCAGATAAATGCAACATCATTATCTCAGCTGGTATCTGTTTGTCCTTTAAAAGCAAGACTCTAAATATGATCTTAAATAATACTGGTTGCTTGATTAGATATTAAAAAAGTTGTCACAATAAAAAAAGGAGTTTAATGATATAATAAACAGTCAGTTTACAGTATTTTACAAGGCAGTCTCTGTCCTCAAAACTCTTTCTAAATCATCGGTGTTATTAAGATTAAAGTTTGAGATGCATATTTCCAAGATTGAATGCTGGCTGGATTTGAATCGGTAATCAAACTACTGTTTCACTAATATCCAACAATGATCTTACCTTCAGGACCTGCTCAAGGTTCTCCAGTTTGTCTTGGAGCTGAGCCTTCTCCTGCCTGGCAGAGTCTTTCTCTTGACTCACACACGCAAAAGCCTTTCTGAGCCGATCATAGTCTGACTTTACCTACAGAAACAAAATGAGGATATATAAACTGTCTTAAATCACAAAAATCCAGCTAAACTTACATAACTGTCACTTAAACAATGAAAAGCAGAGCTAATAGAGGAACCTTGGCCAGACTTCAAATGTTGGACATTTAATTATGACCACAACAAAAGGAAGAAAATTGCTGACTCTGCAATAGTGCTTAAATGCGTTTTACAATGGACCGTGAGAACATATTTCACAATGAGTGTGGGTCTAAGCAGAATTTTTTTGCAACAGTATTAATCATTTTGCTAGATTATTTCAGTAGTTATTTTTCATTCTCATAAAAGGTGCAGTGATTCTTCATGAGGCTTGAAACATATCTCTCTGGCGCTGTAGACTATATAATAAAAATTCAGGTAATTTGTATCTAAGGCAACAGCTCTAAAAATAAAGATTCAGTGTTCAAAAATGTGTTTGACTTTTACATTGACTCACGATGCTGGCAGAACTCAGAGAAACACAACTAATCACCTGATGAGTGCAGAAGAGGGTCACCTCAGACAGAGTCAAAAAGGAATCCATCCAATCAAAATTCACCACTCAAAATATCACATACTAGTGGCTGCATCATTCTGGCACACACCCATACTCTCTCTCATTTATTAGCACACATTTCATCCGTTCAGGCTCAGAGAAATGGGGAGGTTGAGTCACATCTTGTATCGATTTAAGATCGGTATATGAGATTGCGCCTGGTGCAGAAGCGTGTGACAAACCGACCCGTCCCACTTGGGGTTATTTACCTACTTTCCTCGGCCTTGTTAGCACCACTGAATGCTGGGAAATTAACCTTTGATCATTGAGGGAAAGGGAATGAGAGCGGGCAGCACTACCTGATTAAACAAAAGACATTTTATCTCAGACACTTATCTGGGGTTGTGACAGATGGCCCTTTTTGCTGTTAGAGGAGAGGAGCAGCCTGTGGATTATTCGGAAATATATCTAACTATTAACAGTACTGGTGAGAAGTGCAACTGCAGAGAAATACAATTTTGGACAAGACGTCTGGCAGTATCATACAAAGGAAAGAAAGATCAACATATAAATCTCCTTGTAAACAATAGGGTACATGTGACTGATTAGAGAATAAACCCATGGGTGATGAACTCACAATCTCTTGAACACAAATCTCTTTGGATGATAGGGAATGAAGATGGGTGCTCATTTTGTCATTCATCATTGGCTGTGCTTAAAGAGCCACCCAAATCTCAAAACATCTAACACAGTGTGTATGAAAAATTAATCAATACTTCATGGAGAATGGTACTCTGCAGCAATTACCACAGACCAGATTCAATTTGTTGGTAGATTATCTTTTTAATTGGATTGAGGTCATTTATGCTTCTTTTTTTTTAAGTGTATCGTTTTTTTTTCGTCACTAGCATCACTAAACGAAACTGCAAAAATAAAGAACTTTTTCTAACAGGTTTCCCATTGGTCAGAGAATTATACAGTTAACCCTGACCCAAAATCACGCCATTCAGAAATTTTTTCGAATTTGCCTGGTTCAAACACACCTATATGTTTTGGATGTTACAGAGCACCTGAATTTGTCATTTATGGGGAAGTCACCCTACAAATAGCTTACTTACAGATGTCTCTACATATTAAGCTAGGATAGCATTTTAAAATGTAAGACACTGCATACCTTTAAACAACAATGTTTAGAAAAATGAAGAAAAAGACTTGACAACAGGCAATGAGAAAGGCAATGAAAATCATCTCACTTCTGATCAGACAACTTGTATCTTACCACACTACATCTACCCATAAATGCACCCCCTAATTTGACTGTTTAACACAGCCGCCCACCTCTTGAAGTTTTCAAAGTGCCACACCCTGGCTGAACTCTGTGAGCATCTCTGACTCAGCATCCTGTCCCTTCCTGACTGGCTTACATGTCACAGTATATCAGGTGGCAGGTTTGCTCAACAGCAACTAGAGGAACATTTGAACTTTCTTGTCAGAAGCCCTGTCTGACAACCACAGTGTCACCCTGGACATGACAGCTACTGCACACGAGGGTGGCGCACACTCAACTGCCTGCAAACAGTGACCACCACAGACCTCCCATGGGATCACGTGAAGCATATCCACATATACATTTGGGAACATTTTAGCCATCATGTTCTATTACCTCATATGAAAGGACAGTCTTTAACCTCTGCTCAAGGGACCTTTAAGAGGCAGCTGAAATGGCTGCACATTGAAACCAGGAGTAAAAAATATGCAGTTCATTGCGCAGTCATGGCTGATTAAATGCAGCTTTAATGTGGTAAAGATTAGACTACCATGGGATTATCAACTGAAACTCTCACAGGGATGTGAGTTAAAGCAGCGGCACATATCATACCCAGGAATCCTGCTTCTGATTTCCATATGGATGGCTCAAGAAGCAGAACAGCGAAAGAAGGAGGCGGTCTTGCGAAGAGAGAGAGAGCGAAAGCAAGCCACAAGAATGGACTAATTCGAGCAGACATGGCTGCCTGATCCCCACCCTCCAGTTTAGCCCCTGGTTCTGCAGCTGCTCAGAAAAGCTTTGCTCATCCTTCCACAACATTCACTGAGATGAGGCTCTTTACATGGCCAACCACTGCAGCATTGTAGATGTATATAGAGAGTGTGGGTGTTGTTATACAACCATATACATATAACAAGAGAAACAGAACTCTGGGATGCAGTTAATCTGTGGGTCAAGTCGAACTGAGATAAGATACTCAATACTCAATTTTAGTTATGTTAAAGAAAATTAACTGAGCAATTAATTCTGTTTTAAATCCAGACAATGTTTAGACCATTTTTTTTTTAAATAAATAAATAAATAACAATAATAATAAATTAATTAATTAATAAAAAAGACACCATTACTGTATGTAGCAGCCTAATTTAAATTTTTTGTAAAACATATGATATAAACCGACCTATAATAATATATCAACAATATAATAAAATTTAAGTTACAAATATTATAATTTATTTACTGTATATAAAAATTATAACATTTATGTTTTTAAAATACCTTTTTGTCTTGACTATTTTAAAATGATAAATAAATTACTTTTACTGTAAATGGCATTGTGGTACTTTTTCCAGTTTTCTAACAATAAACATAAAAAAATGAATATAACAAATAAAATAAAAACACATGCAAAAATAGGTAACAGCATTGCAAATTTATCCATAAATGAAACAAAAAATATATTTGTTTGATCATTTTTCTTGCGTATAAGGTTTGAATGAGACACCAAAGTATACCATATTTGTTGAAAGTGCCGAAAAAATTAACTGAAATAGTTTTTGATGGATCATAGAATGGCAACTTCCCTAAAGTATTTCAAGTCAACTATCCATATATTCATTGCTGTACCAGTGTACTGGCACTGGCGCACTGAGTACTACACTCATTCTTACTAAAACACGTTTTATTTACCCACAATACATTAAATTCTTTAACATGCAGCCTATAATGGCAGATCTGTCAATCTTAGGTGATATCTTCAGTCTGTACCTGTAACAAACAGAAATCTTAGCCTCTGATCCTGCTGTGAAAGCTCAGGGCTCCTCTCCCGCTGAGAGCAGGTGGTTGCCATGACAGCTACAGGAGGTCAGCAGGGAGGCCGCATCCTCCCTTAGCCTGTCACTACACTAATGTATATACTGCAATAAGCAAATAAGGCACTTCATGGTACGCAATGATGGAAAAATGCTCATTAAGACAGATTTGATCCAATTAGACAGCTGTTTGTTATTTAGAGCAACTATCTCTGTGACCTCTTGACATGTCATCTCTACAAGTTGCAAAACACGCTTCTCATGGAATTCGCTAATTAACGCCCCCCAGCTCATAAAAAATTATTAGAGTAAATCAACTGTTGGGCTAGCGGTGCTACTTTAATTGCAGCACTAGGGTTTTATCAAATTAACATAGTTGACATAAAAGGATAAAGATGTTTCTCAGGGAAACTTGAAAGCACATTTGAGCATTTGCCACCAAGGAGCGTGTGCTTTAAGATCAGACATGCTATTCCTGTGCTTTCCCATTAAACACCCACAGGATCTCCACTAATGAGGTGGTGTGCGGTAGCTTCATTCATACAAACCGTATAGGGAGATCTTACGTGCCCTTTACACATGTAAAAACAAATATTCAAAATGTAGCTCTCATGTAGTCCAAAGGCTTTAAAATCTGCAGATGTTCTTTGCAAGAATTCTAACTTCTACTTTTTAAAATCAATATGCAAACCTTGCTGGAAATGGACAAATCTATGAAAATGATTAATCATTAAGTACTGTATGTCAATTCCAAATTTACTGAAGTACGGTGATACATTAGGGTTATGCTTTGAATTTGAATATTGGGGTTGGGGATAATTCCTCAATGTCAGTAACTTTAAAATAAAATAAAATAATAAAATAAAAAACTTGAGAATATTGAAAGCTTTAGCAAAAGGAAGGACATGCATTTCAGAAAAATACACAGGAGAACAAGACCAATATACTAGTTGTGGTTTATGCTTTATGGAGTGCACCAGAAGAGCACAAATTACTTTCTGACATTATCAGCCATGACATTATGCATTGCGTACTGTAGCTTGTACTCACCAAAGTCTTACATTCTAATGTCTTGTTCTTCACTTCTCTCTCAAGGATCTGACACCTTTTCCTGCAATCATTGACCTCTGACTCCTAGAATGATGAAGAACAAGAAATAAAGGACATGACCAATAATAACTGATTTAACTGATTTAAATACTAAGATTTAAATACATATTTTATGACAGAATACATGAAAGATGAAAAAGATATGGTAAAGCCATTTGAAAACAATCATTTTGCAGTTGGTGCAGAAATTACAATTTAGTTATAAATATGAAGTCAACCCTGACTATAGTCCATTACATTCCTTATAAAGCACAATTACAGAGTTCCTGAACATCTAGGAATGGACTGAAACATTTCAAGGGGACATGGGATACATTTTTTTCTTTTTTTGCATTTAGTTCGGGCGTGTCTGCCAGCTGAAAAGAAAAAACGCAGCCAACAAGATAAAAAGTGTTGTTTTTCATGATCATTGAAGAATTTTAACCAAAGTATGTTACAGACATTTCATGAAGACCCTAAAGAATCATACCAACTTGTGGAAAATGGCCATCCGATCAGCGATGTCCCCTTTAAGGCAATAGATAGATGAGCTCTCCTGATTCTCAGCAGATACTATTCATGACTGACAGCATCTTGGGCCAATTTCAGTACATCCCTGTCCTTCAGGCCAGTATTACTATCAGATAGGGCATTTAGCATAATGAATGTATCTTGGTATGCCAGAAAGAAAGCTCTGCAAGTGTGTGAGGGTGTGCAATGCCTAGCGATGGGTGTTTTAAAGCAGCGATGCGTAGCATTAGGGCTCTTGAGGCAGGGACAGAGAAGGAACAGCTGGGAGCTCAAACCTAGTGGTGTGGAAGTAACAACCGTTTCATCTGTGTCAACATGTTACACAGCTGAGCTTTGCTAAACCGAGGACTTTTTCACCCAAACCAACCTCATTATAACAAGACAACACCTCCCATAAAACGAGAGGATCGAGAAAATGCTGATCATTTATCTGAGCTATTATCACTGTACTGTAAATCCTTGCGTTGCTCAACTGGCAAAATGACAGCATCATCTCTGGCATGTCAAAGCGGTATGCATTGCGTGCTCGTGTGCATTTTACAGTGGGGGAGGGGACTATGGCGTTGCTATAGAAACCTACTCATCCAGGTAGCATGTTAACCATGAGAACGAGCAGCCCATTTGGCACTCATTCACAATTCATTGTTAAACCAAACTCACAGGGTACAGCAAACTCCCTCCAACAGTCCAAGACTGTGAATATACAAAATGGTTCATGTGTAATTGTACACCCTGAAAGGAATCATCATGACGTGGTACAGTTCAACAGGGAGGAAGCACATCTCTATGGGAAGGAAATCTCGGGTTTCGCCTGTCCATCTGCCCTATCATTATAAGATAGCGTTATGACTCCATTTACCGCATCAACTGTATTATCAATTTATATGCGCCTGTCTTATGCAAAATGGGGACAAAGATGCCTTGGAGGGGGTCTGTGTTTTCTTGGGAAGCGTAGAATTATTCAGGGCTCTCTCCTACACGTTTTGAGAGATAATCTCTGGAGTGGGGGACTACAGGGAGACTGCCTAGGAATTCAAAATAGACGTGTGGTGTGCCCGCCTCCTCTGTGGCTGGCACATGCCACATCATAACCGGCACTGGTTGCCATTCAGCACAGTGGAGAAGAGAGGGTAAGAAGTATGAAAAGAGGGGAGGGACAGAGAGCAGGTTAAAGGTAAAAATAAAAGAAATCTCAAGCTCAGTGTCAAACGCCACAGACAGATTTAATCGTTGTATTCTAATCCCCCTGTCTTTCTCATGACACTCACATATGTAGGGGTGGAAGCTTCCTCCTGTGAACCCTACAGATATATGCATGGGGTGTGATAATGATGCGACTGTGCTCAGGATGTCAACATGGTGATTGATTTATTCTTGGCTCAGCATCCTGCCGTCCTGAGAGTCTTGGTGCCAAAAAGCCTCTGAGTTTGTTAGGCTGTGATTATCGGTGAATTTCTGTGTTTTTAGCTTGCTAAGGCTCTGAACAAACCTTTAAAGGGATAGCTCACCCCAAAATGAAATTTGATTATCGTTTACTCACCCTAATGTTGTTAAAAACCTGTATTACTTTTTTCTTTTCTATTTTGAACCCAAGTCAGTTGGGTTCAGGATTGTTTTGGACCCCGTTGACTTTTATTGTATGGACAGTTCTTCAAAAACATCAGCTATGCAGCAACCATCTATAAAGTGCTGTCGTATTTTGACATATTTTTGTAGACCAACCCAGAATTTAACATCACCCTGGTTCCCTAAAAAAAACCCAGAAAAAAGCCAATCAAATTTTTTCAATGGCTTTTGGATTATTGCATAAATTAAAATTAAAATAATCTCTGTGACCAACAAAGGTTTATGGTTCATAGCCTTTTTGTTCGTCAGGATAATCTTCATAAATGAACACAGCTTTTAAGAATTTTGAAGACCAAATACAACTGCCAGAAGTAAAATGCTAACTTTAGATTATAAGTGAATTACACCACAATCGCATGACGTCAACATCACCACCGTTAAACTTCTGACAACTCTATAATATCTACAAGTTGACAAATTTTAGCTAGCACAGTCTGCAAGACCGTAACTATAAACACAGCGAGGCAGCAAAAGCAGACTAGTAAGTATAAGTAGATGCAATCACCCTGAAAACCTCTGTAGTCCCATTTAGCCACTTGTTAGCAATCATCTTTTTAAACACACATAAAAGCTTAAAACAAATTTTGGTAAAAAGTGGTAGTAATGATGTATTTTGTGTGGTAGAATAAAACATGAAAATATCCTGAACTTGTGTTAACCACAGACCTTATTTCAGGCATTTAACCAAAACCCATTCCCCACATTTAACCCACTTTGGGACGATGGAACCGGTAGTTTCCAGGTTTTAGGACTCATTCCTGCAGCACTCTATTCAGTATTACTATTTCTCTTAACATTTATGTGCATTATCGCTAAAAATAGGCCACTTTGAATCACTTTGACGGCATCATGGATTTTGAGGCAGCTCAGGATGGCTTGTTAGCTGGGTATTAGAGTACCGTCATTTAAGCCTGTTTCCCCCACCATCCTAAAAAAGAAACAGTGATGAATCTGGCTGAGACTCAAGGCTTGGTTTGGCATAGAGAACATCCTGACTGACTTTGAATATACACTATAGCTTCATGTATTAGGAAGCTCTTCTTTGGATGATAACGCTTGCAAATGTCCTGAAGCAAAGGGCCACTTAATTAAGACAAAGACAGAGGACTTACATTAAGATTTACATTTCCAAAGGGAATACACAACGCAATACTAATGATGTACATTTACAAAGACGATTATGGGTCTTGCTCTAACTATGCACATAATAACATCCACTTTAAAAGGTAGCGAGCATACGAAGACACGTTTAATTGAGACAGTGTGCTGACTGACATATTCTAATCTTACAATCGGCAAATAATGCATGCATTCACATGACTGTCTGAGTGGATTGTAAGAGAAGGAGAACACAGGGCGTGGGGTATTTTTAAATAAGTCAATAGCTATTGAACAGCAAGTGTCACACAGCTAAGGCGGGGGATTCGCTGTAACCATGACAACCGGCGAGATGCAGTGAGGCAGCCGGCTGCCCAGTTTAAAAAGTCTGACCCAGGACAACCCATAAAACAACAAACCTAAATTCACAGTTTAGAAAATCTCCAACCTGCTGCCTTGAAATTCATGGAAATGCAGAAAAGTAACAAAGCATCTAAATGTGTAGATTAAAGAGCAGGTGGCACATGTGTTGGTATTTTTGATAATGCATACATATTTAAAGAGAAACCCCTCATCTTGTTATAATGCTTGAGAAAAATGGCTTGAGATCTTGCATCATCCTTCACCATGCATCTAAAAGCATGAAAATACATGATGTATGAACTGGGGCAATACCCAGCTATGAGCATGTATACAGAGAGGGTGGGGGGGGTTACTATGCTGCACTGATGCAGAAACACACGCTGGAATCCCCACAGCCAAGCTGCAGGTAGAGGAAGGTATCTGAGAGAAACAGACAATTGCAGCAAAATGATAAATGAGAAGAAATATTTACCGTCTCATTTCCCAGTTCCGAAAGCTCTTAAACCTGCTCAGAAAATATTCTTTCCTTTCCCTTCTGCACTCCTCCTCCTCCGTCTCGCTTCCACTGGGCATGCAAATGTCAGACAGCGGTAACAGCAACTCTCTCTCTTTCTCGCTCTCCTTCTCTCTTTACAAGGCCTGCTGCATGCTGCAGAAGCAGAGGCACAGTGCTCCCCCACCATACGTTACGGTCTGCCCTCCATCCCCTCCCTGAGTGACTGACTGATGCTGGGTGAGGGTGGAGGAGAGAGGAAGTGGGAGGGGAAATGATGGAAATAGGCTGTCGAGTGGGCTCTAAAACCATGATCCCTCCCTGCCAGTACCAAAGCTCCATGCAGAAGTGAAGCAGACACAAGTAGGTGGAGCTTTTTTGGGGAAAAATCTTTTACGTGTTTTTGGCTTATGTACCGCACAACTTCATCAGCAGGGACTGACTCCCAGTGTTGAAATGTGTTTCTCTTCATACTGGAAGTTATTTATTATTGATTATTAAACAACGACAATGAACAATACTTTTACGATTTATCTACTAATACATTTGGAACTTTTGTATAAATTAACATTAGTTAATTATTGAATTAACATTAATCATTATTAAGAAATGCTGCTAAATGTATAACAAATTGAACATTATTGTAAAGTGTTACAATAATTTAACAGTACTATTATTAAAAATTTCAGATTAAAATGTTTTATACAACAATTCTTTCTGGTGCTCGAATCTGATTGGCTGAGAGAAGTGCGATATTCTAGTGTTAACAGAGCTCCAAACGTTTCACCAGTTGTATTTCTCCGCTTGCAGTATTCCTCAAATCCACTATAATTTTATAAATAATTCTTTTTTTGTGTCACAGAATGTAGTTTTGAGATTTTTTTAGGCGAGAACGTACTTGTTTAAACTTAAAATATGCGGTTTGTTAATAAAG